CATTTCCAAGTTAAAACTACTCTAAAAAATATTTTAAATGCTTATCCAAAGGGAGCGACCGGTAGCAATATCATTAAAATAAATTGTAAAGAATAGTGTCTTCTTCCAAGTTCCTTAAAAACGTCAACATGACACGGCTTTATCTAAGAGTATACTCGTAGTAGTTGTTGCCAACTTCAACTTCCCATTAACAAATTTCAAACCCAACGAAAGTGGAGAACTTAATCACTTTAATTATTAATTTTTTATTTCTTATTTTTAATATTCAAACATGACTTTGGAAAATTAAAGAAGAAAAAAGAGTTTAAGAAGCTTTCTAGAACACCCTGTTTTGTCAAGTCACTTTCTATAAATCTCTTACTTTTGAGTTTTGTCTTCGTCTCTATTTCTATTTTTATAAGGACTCTACGTGAAACATCTGCATATTCGCATTTTCTTTCTCTCTCTTTCTTTTATTATGAAAAAAAAATGATCTTGCAAAATCAAGAACCATTTTCTTCTAATTAGCAGAAAAACAGAGGAGCAAAAAAAATTAAGGCAAAATCAAAAGCAAAATCATGTATTCTGGTTCATTTCTTTCTGGGTTTTATTGTTGGGGATGGGAATTTTTAACTGCCCTTTTGCTTTTTAGTTGTTCTTCTTCTTCCTAAATTATAAATCTTCCATTTGTCTAGATTAATTAGCTATTTTTCTTGAGTACATTTTAGGTGAAAAAACAGGGGAAAACAGGGGATTTTTTTTAAATAAATCATATAGTTTATAGAGTAGTTGAATAAAAATGGGGCAAAGGTCAATTCCTGCGCCATTTTTGACGAAGACATACGAGATGGTAGATGATAAAACTTCAGATGATGTCATTTCATGGGGAGAGAATGGGTCAACTTTTGTTGTTTGGAAAACTGCTGAGTTTGCTAAGGATTTGTTGCCCAAATTCTTCAAGCACAACAATTTCTCAAGTTTCGTTCGCCAGCTTAACACCTATGTAAGTTTCCGAAAATTAATTGTCATGTTGATGGTGTAATTTTTATCAAATATGGTCTGGATCGATATTCGATAGAGTTTGATTTCATTTTTTCAACTATATTTGTTATCATATCCTGAGATTGGCTAAAATTTTATGTCAACGTTTACTTATGTATTTATGATCAACTATCTTCAATTGTTAGGAATTTATATATTTTTATTTACTTGTGTTAAAATGAGAACTTCTATGGGTCAAATCCATAATTTGTTGAAATTGTGATTTATGAGGCCTTTTATTATAAATTTTAATTACCACTAGATGATATATAGATTGACTATTATGACGATTTTTTAATACGAGCACAAGTAATTGGATTATAAAAACTACTGTACTTCATTCGAAAACATAATAGTATAATTTTATTTAAATTTAGATGTGCCTACAGCCTAGATACGATAGTGGTTAAAGAGTGGAGGGAAGATAATATGTGGACTTGTGGAGTTGTATAAATTATAAAATGATTCCCATGAGATATTGTCAAAAGTAAACGTGTTCAAATTAATGCGTGAAATTATCGAAATAGATTTAAAAAAAAAACCTTCTTGTGTTGTTATCACGGGGTAGTTGAATTACTTGGTTTTTTTTTTTTATTATTACTATTAAAAATTAAAATAAAAAGTACAGAGTAGAATATTAGAAATAATTATATAGTGTAGGTAAACAATGCAAAAAGTTTAGAACGCTGAAAAATTGATGAATGCTTAAAATGTTCAATTACATATTACATTACATGCATATAATGACTTGAGAAGTTTGTAGAAGTATTTCACTTGACATATTTTCTATCTCTTAAATTATATATTGGTGCTTGTAAAATTTTACAATTAAAGTTTTGTGAGTTAAATAGAAATTAAGATATGGTGCAATAACTTATCACCGTAAATTTTTCAAGCTAACCCGGGAGGAATTTCGAAGATGTTCACTATTGGCCCATAAAATGCTTCATTCTTAGAAAATGGATGATTTTCATACAACAATACATACACTAACACCCTAGAATGTCCTAAAAAAAAAACCTCAATAAGAACTAGAAATGTGTATACACTTGGATGGGGACATTTTTATAGTATGAGTAATTGCATGATGGCAAAGATAAAGAACATATTTGTTAATTAGTTGATAGCTAGTTACATGAATAGGTTTGATTAGTTAGTTGTATGACTTGCATAAGATGCTTTAACTGACTTTTGAAATTATATATATATTATAAAATAGCTTATTTAACAATTTCTCAAAATGCAGGACTCTTACAAAGAGCTGAATAGACTAATTCCAATAACATTTTTGCAATATCTTTTTTCCAAACCTAAGCAACTGTTTTTGTGGTTAAACACTTAAACCCTCTAATTGCTTTATAAAACAAAAATCTCGTCAGTTATCTCTTTTGCTAAACAAGGCCTAAAACTGCAAAGTGTGTGTATAAGTATAGGGACATCTTTGCTTTTATTTTGTTAAAGATGCCTAAAAACTTGCCATTACATAGAAGGTTTTCATAACTCATCTGTCATCTCTTATGTTGCCGGTCAAATGAAAGTATTGTCAAGTATATACTTCTGGACAACATCTTGCTAAGAATTTTCTCCTGCTTTACTTGTTGGGTTGAATATCTCTTAAGAACTATAATAATCAAAACATTCATTAACTTTATTATTGTATTTTATCATAAGACTAACATGGAATTTATGTTATTTTCATAGTAAATTTTTTCTACGTAACATTAATAGTAGTCCATATTTTTTCCAAAGTTACGGCGCACACTTTTGACAAAATGCACATTTTTATTTAAACAAATTTCAGGGATTCCGCAAAATTGTGCCGGACAAGTGGGAATTCGCCAACGACAGATTCAAGAAAGACCAAAAAGATCTCCTTTCCGGAATCCGCCGCCGGAAAGCAACACTCGCCGGAAAAGCCACCGGCGCCGTCACATCACCGTCAATCTCCGGCGACGATGCGGGGTCCACATCCACGTCATCACCAGGTTCCATCGAAATCGCGGATTTATCGGGTGAAAACGAGAAATTGAGACGAGATAACGAGATGCTAAACTCAGAGCTAGCCCAAACCAAGAAACAATGTGAAGAGTTAATGGGCTTTCTTACGGCCCGTTTAAAAGTGGGCCCAGATGAGATAAACCATATCCTAGGGCAGGGGATGGTGGTAGCGTGTGGGGCCCACAAAGATGGGTTTGTTGGAGAAGATGACTTTGGAGGTGTTGATAATAATGAAGAAGAAGATGATGATGATGAAAAAGAAGGTTTGAAATTGTTTGGTGTTTGGTTGAATGAAGTTGGTGGGGTCAAGAAAAGAGGAAGATGTTATGATGAATTTCAAGGGGACAATAATTCTAATTTGGGCTTTAATGGAGCCCAATGTCGTCGAAAGATCATGAAGATTCGTTCATAAATTAATACTACATATACAATAATACTATTGCATAATTTGATCGATTTTATCGTTTTAGAAATGTCTTATGGTTATGGTACTTATGGATTAGTCAATGTGGTAGTTGAAGTTTGAAGATGTATGATGGATAGATGAAACAACGGCGGATTACAATATGCATTTGTAATTTGTTATAGATGTTTTCGTGTGGTTTGGACTATATATTGCTATATGTATTTATGTATGTATTCATTTCCGAATCTTGGCTTGAAAAAATGAAGAGATAATTTTGGGGTTAATCCTCTAATATCTTGTTAAAGTAAGTAGATTATACACTTTGCTTCTCGTACATATTCTATATGTATAATTTAGACAATATAAATATAATAAAGTCTATCAAGAAAGTTTCAAGTGGAATCATCAAATACTCGGTAGTATAGTTTATCTTTTGAACAAGCTTTTATTATGTGTATGAACTTGGAATCCAACTTGCTTGGCAACAATCTTTTAATAAGACAAGTCTTTTTCTTTTTTGGTATAGAAAGATTCTCAAATAAAAATAATGAGGTTTAAAAAAATTAAAGATACAGTACGTAAGATTTTATACTAGGAATCGGGTATATCTCTAATTTTTTACTAACTCAACTGGTTAGATTGTATATGTATCCCTATCTCATGTTAATACTCCTTTTGAGGCTAACTGGATATGTCCTTATATATATGTCCCATTTATTTATTTTACAATCTCCGCAAAACACATTTACACTAATATCTCTCATATAAACTAATGTGTAATTAATGTTGTAGAAAAAGCATAAAAATAAAATAAAATAAAAAGAAGAAGAAATTATAATCCCACGTGATACTACAAACCTAATAAGATTGATAGATATAGATTTTTCATAGAATAATGGAAACATGTGATCAAAGCTCTAAAACTTTGACCATATAACATATGAATGGAGAGATTAGGTATTACAGACTTTACAATATAAAGCAAATGTATGTATTTTATTCATAGAAACAAAGTGACCGTGCATATGACTATATGAGCAAAATTTATTAATTGAGTTGAACCATTAAAAATGGGTACGGCCCGTGACGTGTAGGCCTATATGCTGTGCTTACGTGTTTAGTGGTCAAACAGGTCGTGTCTTGAACAGGCTAAGAAAAAGTCGTATTGTGCTGGGTTTGTGCCAAACTTTCATAAATGTGGCTCATATATAGCTCAGTCCATGTGTCGTCCTAATAGGCTACTTAATAATTTGTACTGGTATATATTTTGTGTAAATTGGTCAAAAATAAGTGTGACAAAATAGGGTCCACTTGTTGTGCTCGTGCCGAGTTCGTGCTACATTTTGAAAATGAAGCCTATGCACAGCCCACCTACTTGCCTCTCGTGCCGTATTATGCTTATGATGGGCTCGTGTCGGATTAGGCCATTTTTGTGCCAGTTCGGCCATTTCTATCTATAAGAACCATCAAGCCCAAGGCATATTGCCAATTTTGTAGCCCAAAACAAGTGATGGATAGCTTACCCACAAATCCTTAGTAGAACTAGCCCATTTGTATATTTATTTTAAAGTTTTATGAAGCCAAATGAAGGTCTAAGAAAGAACAAATTCGTATGGCTCTAATTTTCTCACACTTTCCCTTTTCTCTCCCCTCAAAAACATCACCATTTTGCCAGACTTCTCTTCTATCATTACCCAATTTCAGATTTCCTACATCAACTCTTACTCGTTGTTGTGTAGGATCGTCATCAATGAACAGTGATGGACGGCCAGGATTCAAGGACTTCCCTTACGCATCACCACCTATCAAAGATCTGATGATTGATTTGATATCAACGGTTGAGAATCGCCTTGATTCATTGCTACTACCATGTACACTTCCACAGGATGTTCAGTACTTAGAAAACCAATGTGGGACCGCCCATGCTTCTCTTCTTCTTCGCTCTGGTGCTCCTTCTTCTTCGGTACTCTCAACTTTACAACATAAATTTGTATGAAATTATTTTATTTTAAAATTATTTTAGTTACAAATTATGTTATTATAGTTTTGCTAGTTAAGTAGTTGTGATCATGGTTTGAAATAGGAAATTATTAATTTCTTAGAAGAATTTGTTGTGAATTTGTGATCAATTGGCTTGACTCCGAATACGTGTTGGCGTGTTACTCCGTTGTTGAGATTCGAACACGTGACCTTTGGTTAAAATCGAATAACTTGTTCTTTGATCGACATAAAAAGTTAAATGTTAACTGATTAATCGCAGATTCGCAGGAAATATAGGGGGGATACACCTGCATTGGCTACATAGAAAGTATATTTGGCAATTCCTCCATCTTGTAGAATTGCTGGTACTTTTGGTAGTAGTATTAGTGTTTGTGTGTGAAGACTGTGAACCAAACGACCATTTTATGTGCTACATTAGGCATAATATTGTGTTCCTTTGTTATAGGTAATAGAGATTAGTGAACTACTACTTCATAAAAATATTATTTTGGAATGTCCGAAAAAAGAAACATGAACTTTAATGAAGAGCAAGAGACATAGTGATTATCATGACTATTTTTGTATTTAGTCACAACACCATTAACATTTTGCTGCAACATTTGCAGATTGACTTCATACTAAGTTCTTGGTTACATTGTGAACTACCAACAGGAGCAGCTTTAAACATCACAAGTTTATCATCTTACATGAACAACTCAACCGATGCACCCCACTTGGTGATTGAGTTCATCCAAAGTAGTCCCACATCTTTGGTTCTAATCCTCGATTTACCTCCTCGAAAGGACCTGATCCTTCACCCTGAATACCTGAAGACATTTTATGAAGATACAGAACTAGAGAAGCAAAGGCAGGTCCTTGACAAAATCTCTGAAGCTCAACCTTATGTCTCCCCGTCCCTTTACATTCGTTCCGTCTTCTCTCCTACTGCAGTTGTGCTTCGTGTAGACACTTCCTCAAGTGGAGGAGACAGGTTGGAGCAGATTCTGAGGGACGATGTTAGTAATGTGGCACAAGAGGTGTTGAACATATGGTTAAGCTTATGCGCATTAGACGAAAAACGAGATGTTGGAGATGATGAGAAGGCTTGTTTGAAGAAGAGGGATAGCTTGTTTAAGAGTAAGGGTATTGAGACTGATATTGGATCTAGCTTGCCTAGGATGTTCGGTCAAGAAAAAGCTGACCGTGTTTTAGAAGTTCTACAAGCTGTTTTGTAGTCACCGTAAATCAAGAAAGGTTTGTTTGTAATCAATTGAGCACAGACATTGTATTGATAACTTTTTTCTAGGATTACATTTTCTCCTTTCTGCATATTATTATTGCAGAGTACATTGAATATTCAGCAAAAAACTGTCAATCCAGAGTTTGAAGTTAATGTTAATCTCAAAATTTCCCCCATATAAATCATAAAAGTTGAATCAATATAAATGTTTCCATCACTTTTACACAATTGCTTCTTTACTAAGATTCTAAAAATAACAGCTCAATTTTGCTCACGAGCAAGACATTGAGGGAATCTGAATGGTAGCGTCATCACAGCATTGCCGTCAACATTTCCTTGACTTGCTATGCCGAAAGCATATCCAAGACCAGTAGCTACAGGCACTGCTACTGCATTCCCGATTTGAATGTACCTATCAAACGTGTTACAAAAAAAAAATTACATTTAATTAAACAGTACATAAACAATTCCTCTAAAAGTAATATTAGTGAAAAACAGTTTTTTGTGATAAATAACTTGATCTTCAGAATTCTAACCTCTCCTTAATAGGGCCATAGAGTCGGTAGCAGTCAAGAAAACCTTGTAGCCTTGCATTTTCCCGTATGCTGAGCACTCTATCCTGCTCAGGATGTAGGACAATCTGAAAAAAGATCAAATCGTTAATATGGCAAGTGCCATAAGTGTTCCAATATGCGTTGCAAGCAATGAGAGTTTACCTGGTTGTGAGGTTCAGCTCGGGTAACAACAGTGGCCACTGTCTCATCCCACCACAATCTACCAAATGGCCTGAAAAAAACATTATAGACCATATCTTAGTAAAAAGGAAAAACTATTACTTCGTATAAAACAAGAGTTTAACACCAAAAAAATAAATGCACATACTTGGAAGAGCTGCCCTTGACATATGAAATTGCATAATCAGGAACCTAATCATAAACATTTTAAGGTTACACCATTACAATAACATATTATATAGACGAAGAAAGCATTTGACTATCTGAGTGATACTCACCAATGGTTTCTTTGAGGGAAGAAGTGATCTTTCCACATTAGGATCCAAGGATACCCTGTTTTTAGCATCTACTAGCACCCCAGGCAAGTCTCTAAAGTTTGCTCCCTATATAAAATACAAGGCATAAGAACAAAATCTTATTGAACTAATGTTGCAAAGAAAACAGAATTGCAAACCTTTTTTTTAGGAATCTCACAAACTCTTAAAAAATCGTCATCATTCAATTTCAAGGGGCGGTGGTCAAAAAGCAAATGACTTAATGCAACTTCAGCTGAACCATTGAATGATACCATTTCTGATAAACAAAATTACACAATCAAATATCATATAAGTTATACGAAAAGGTGAAGAATTTAGCAATAAAATGTGCACAAAATTGAAATAAGCTACAATATCCATAAACCCACCCTCTCTCTGTAGTCTGATATACCGCTGGAATTCTGATTGCGGAGCTCCTCCATAAGGCTTTACATCTTCCTCATCATCATTTTTTACCTGAATAGATAAACATAAAATATTTTATACGTAGTAAAACAAACAAAGATTTTCTGCAACAGCTACATTACACCAATTGAAATATCCAACAAACATGTACCTCAGGTAAATCTGAGATAGCATCCCCTAATAATAGAGCCTTCTCTAACTGAACAGAGCTATTTTTGCCATGTGAGACATTAATATCCTGCATGTATTACACAAAACTGTTACAAACATATAGTGTCGTTAACTTAATAGCTTTATTTTTAATGTGCAAAGAATGCCTTACTGAAAACTCAACGGGAACCCCGCCTCTTGTAACAACATCATGAGTAGGGAGAGGAAATTGAGGTAGTTTCTGTCACAAAAGTCAAATCATGAGTACTGATGGAAGATTTTACTTTACAAGGAGGGGGTAAAAACATTTGCATGACTACCTCACAGGGTCTATATGTAAGGATAAGAACAGTCAACCGCAATGACAACTTAGTAATTTACCTGTGAAGTGTGTGCACCCCATAGAAACACTCTCATGCGAAATTGAGGCAGACCATATGATCCAGCTGCCATGATCCCCATCCGCGTTTGGTAGTTCATACCGATAAGTCTTCCAACAGCATAGCGGCCCAAAAATCCTCCAGCAAATTTCAGTAAATCCACCACGTTCTCCATGAGGACATACTTTGGCTTTAAAAATTCAACTATGTTCATGTAAACCACTAGCTGCTGGTTCTTTGAATCGTTTAAAGGATTCTTTGTATCTCGAAATCGGTTGAATCCACTAACCCCTTGACAAGGAGGTCCCCCACATATGAAATCAGCATCTCCCTATACATTGGCATTATATATAAGCATAAATACTTGTATACTAAAAAGAAAAGACACCAGCCACTAGGTAATGTAATTCAAAAGCACAAATTTCTTACAGGAAGAGGCAGTAGTTTTGATTGGTATCCTTTTGTAACGAATTCCTTAATCCTTTCTTCAGAGCCACTGTAATATATGAAAGCAAAGAATTAGAACAAATAAAAAGCAAGCATAGTAAAACAGAAGAATACCAATGACAAAAAAGTTGTCATAATCTAGCCTCTAGTATGCGAAGACTAGGAGGCCTTATTTTATTGCCAAAAAAAAATAAAAAAAAATAAATAAAAGCTGTCATATACCTCAAATCATCTATGGGCTCCCAAGTATCCTCTTCAGGTCCATACCCCTTCCAGTGTACCTTTAATCAATAATTATAGAATTCAAATGTGTTTTTTCCAAAAAATAGATGTTTAATACTACAATAATATTTCATAGATTTCTCGTGTTACGTAAGCTAGGGAGAAAGAAAATACCTTAAAGTAAAGGCCACGTTTTCTCACATTATTGGGATCCCCATAACATATGTCTAGTAAACTCTCAACCTCAAACTCTCCAGGAGATAGTGGATCGTCATCCTCTTCTTCTTCCTCTACATTTTCGGGATTCGCCATCTCCGTGGGGGGTGCAGGTGACAATACTAAATCATTGCAAAGCTTTTCCCATTCTTTCAATAGGGCAAGGAAATCCTCAGCCATCTCATTTCTCACCTGTAAAAATATTTTGTTATACTCTGCCATTACTTCTCCACTGTTGGTAGGGGTAAGCAAGAGTTAGAAAGTCACCTTAGTTTCTGGATGGTTCTTGCTTAAAGATTCACAAGCATAAGGGTTCAAATCTACCGCCCATCGCTAGAAAACAATTATAAACAGAAAATTTTCAATACATGACTCAGTCACTGTATCCAAAGTAAACAATCATAATAAGTTAACAGTTCAGCTTACATTTACAAGTTTTACTCCCGATAAAGTTGCACCTAGACATAAGCCTGTTGACATGGCTCCGCAACCGGAATATAGATCTAATAATGTCATCTCATTGACTGGTTGAGCATTACTAGAAGCATCATCAATGGCTTCATTTGAACTATGATCACTTGAAATAGTTGATGAAGTATCACTACCACTGCCTTGGTTTTTCTCATCTAGATCATTATGAATGTTAAAAGTTACATCAAGAATGCAAGCCAGCTCTAAATTGAAATAAGTAGAGAATGGTGGACAAGGATAACATACCAAGCACCATATTTTCAAACGTCAAATATGGTAATTTATATCGCATATTACAATATAAATAATCATCAGGCTTCTCCACCCCAACCTATCAAAATTCATAGAATTAGATAACTTTTACAAAATTAACATAGCCAACAAAATACAGACTAATTAATGTACTCAAATGTAACATACATCTGAAGGATTATAGTCGATTTTGACTTTTTTAACAATGCATCCCAATGGATTATCATCTTTGATATCTGAAAAGAATACTCTTTTTTTATCAACAAAATTTGCATGATCTTTAATGACCTGAGAAAATACGAGACAAAAATTTCAGTAAACAGTTCTTCCAATGAACAGTTAGTTGACAAATTTGTTTGTTTCAAAAACATAATTTGGAGACTCACAGAATCATCAGCTCTATAGAACCATTGAGCTGTAATGTATTGCTCCTTATCAACAGTCTCAAAAAATTCCACGATTTTGGCAATGTAATCTCTCTGCCCTTCCTCTCCCTGTAGAAAAAAACTCAGACATTTGCTTGACTCGAACAGGACAGTTGGATTAAAGTTGAAGATGTTGATGCTTTTAATTTTCGACAATCATTACCAAAAATAATTTGGTATTGTTTTTTAATCCATATAAGGAATAATAATAACATGAATATACCTATGCTACTAATATTTATTCTCAATTATCAACCCTACAATGTAGGAAAAAATTCAATATGTTGCCACTACCATATATATAAATTTAAGTTGAGCCTTCTAGAGTCCAAATTGACACAACTCATCAATCGAATCGAACTTATATTCTGCAAAGCATAATTAATGTTCTAATTAAGATGATATCGAAAAAAATAACAATGTAAAATTCAGGATACTTCGAATCTGTATATCTCAATTGACTAAATCCATATCTATATCAGTATCACTACAATAAGAACTCGGCTTGTATTCAACGCCAATCAAGTCTACTCTAAACATTGCACAGAAATCACAAATTGAGCAAGCGACGAAATACTAAGAAAGCCGAAGAATTAAATCCACACATATAATAAATTGTCAAAGTAGAAATTATCCCAACCTGAATGTATACATCATCAAGAAGCTTAATTACAACTCCATCAACAACAGCTTGGGTGTAATGGTTTGAGGCTTGCAAAATTTCCTCACTATGCCATTCTCTGAAAAGTAACACAAATAAAATCAACTAAAAAAATACAACCAAACTGATTAATTAAACCGAATTGTAATTTTCCACAATTCTTACATTGAAAACTTTGCTGCATTTACCACTTTACCCTGTAATTTTATACATGAAAAAATTTCAGTTTACGCAAATTTAACCAACATTCAATTTAGAACAAAATTAGGTTTGACAAAATTTTACCCTAGATAAAAAGCGATGAGGCCATCGTGCCTTCGCTTGTTGAATTGGAACAGGTTTACCAATCAATTTACACTCTTCTTCTTCTGACGAAGTTGTTATCTTCTTC